TTTTCATAATATTCTGTTATAATCCTTTTTATTTCAGTTGGGTCTGTTGTAATGTCCCCCATTTCATTTCTTATTTGGGTTATTTGTGTCCTCTCTTGTTTTTCTTTTGTCGGTCTGGCCAGTGAGCAAAGCTAGACACTTTTGAGAGTGAAAGAGGGAGCTATTAATAATGGTATCAGGACATCAGGCCAGGCCTAAATAAGGACTATCTTGTGCAAGCCAGGAATAAGAGATACCCTATCTCTACCCTAACTATCCTCACTCTTTCCCCAAAGTTCCTCTCCCTCTGCATCATCATTTTCTTCATCTGTCTCTCCAAGTCTGTCTGCCCCAGCACAAGGTAAGCCACCTAGAAGGGCCTAGGGGAACAGAGGGGCTCTCCCTGACTACCCACCCTTCCAGAAGTTCCAGCTGCACTCCAAATCATTGTGCTATCCTCTTCCACCATGCTCACCCTTGCTTGCTGCACTGCTGTCTTACAGGCCTTCCTTCTGTTTCCCAGACACTTCATGCTCTTTTCCACTGTAGGACCTTTGCAGGTATTTCCTCCTTCTGGAATGCTGGTCCCGCTTCCCAGCTCCCTGCTCTTTTCATGCCTGGCTCTTTCTCCCCTTTAGGAGAATGGTTAGAAACACAGCCTGGAGTTATATCTACTTTGGTTCTGATCTTGGCACTACCAATTACTAGCTGTGTGAGCCTGAGTAAATTTTTAAAGCGCTGTGCCTCAGTTTCCTCCTCCATAAAATGAGGAATATGAAAATAATATTACCAGCCTCATGAGGTTGTAAGGAGCCCTGGTGGCACAGTGGTTAGGCGCTCCGCTGTTAATCAAAAGGTTGATGGTTCAAACTCAGCATGAGGTTATTATGTGGATTAAATGAGCTAAGATATATATAAAGTACTTAGTACAGCATCTGGCATTCATGTTGTGAATGCTGTGTAAGTATTAGCTATTATTATCCTTTAGATCTTAACTGTATTATCTTCTCTTTCAAAGAAGCTGTCTACTGCATAGAATATGCCTTCCCTTTCAGCTCTCCCTCCAGTATTTTCCATCTCAAGAAGCTGTGTGTGTCCTTCATATCAATTTAGATTTTATCATTGTCTCTTTATTTATCATCTCTCTCTCTCTCTCACTAGCCGTAAGCTCCGTGAGGGTGGGGATTTGGGCTGTTTTGCTTACATTGTACCCTACAGGGTCTGACGTTTATCGTAGGGCTCAGTAGAGAGTTGCTGAATGAATTAATGAGCTAAAATTAAACACATGTGTAATGAACGTTGTAGGCTTCTCTTTTAGAATATAAGCTCCATGAGTGTAAGCACCCTGTCTGTCTTGTTCATCAGTATCAGCAGCTAATATATTCCTAGCACGTAGTAGACACTCAGTCAATTTGTTGAATTAAGACATAATTCTAATTAATTGTCTAATTAATTATTTTCAGTCTCCTCCATTCTCCCAGACGTGATGAGCTGAGTGTCCCTGTCTGTCTTCTCTGTATCCCTGTTGTATTAGCACAATGCCCTGCACAGAATAGCTGCTTAGTGAATCATAAATGGAGAAAGCAAGCAAGAGCAGATGCAGGGAGGACTTCGAGCCATTCCAAACCTTGGAATTGGAGCTCGGTGGGAGGTCAGTGAGGCCCAAGGGGCATCTGGATTACAGAATTTTGGAGGGATTGTGTGGTCTGAGGCATCCTGAAGGGGGGTGGCAGGGGAAGAGGTGGTGGGGGTGGGTAACAGTAGGCTGAGTTGGCCAGGCTGATAGTGTGGGCACCAGAGGTCTTTTTAACAGGGACCCTGTGCCATGAGGAGTGATTTCTGTGCAGCAGATAAAGGTAAAAGACTCTTTGGATTTTAGGGGACCTTAAAGATTCCTCATTCCCACCTACGTACACATTTGAAAAATGGGAAAACTGAGGTTGGGAGAGAGTGAGCAGCAGACCTGGGTGGACAAACTAACCCTGCCACTCCTCCCCCAGAATGCTGGCTTGCCCGGAGCTGGGGACAGCTCTTCAGCCTCCCAGAGCCCTGGATGCCTTCGTGAGAAACCAGGCTGGCCCAAGGAGGGTAGCTAGAATGGGTTCTGTTTCCATATAGCAACATAAGCCTAAAGGGTTCATTATTATCATCCTCATCCTCAGTCACCATCATTATCATCCTCCTCATCATTAATATTAAGTATGTAAATAATGATTGTTAGAGCCCTTATGGTTGATGAAGTGAGGTCTCAGCAAAGGGTAAGAAAAAGAAGGCCTTCCAGGTTGAACTGGCAGATTCACGACCATTCATTCTAGCCCTTACTGAGCACTTGCCCCATGCTGGGCCTGGTGCTGGCTTGAGCTGAAGGGAAACAGCACTCTAGTCCCCACAAGACCTGGTGGGATGCGGTAAGAGCCATAAATGGGTGTAAAGTCCTGGGGAATTTGGAAGAGGACGTTGTTCACATTCAAGTAGGGGAAGCAGAATAAAGCTCCATGGAGGATTTTATCCTTAGGGTTAGATTTGGCTGTATATGGTGGAAAAAATAAAATAAAATAACAGGAGGTTTAATCAAGATGGAAGTTTAATTTCCTTTCACTTAGAAGAGCTGCCAGGTTAGGCATCCCAGGACTGGTAAGGCACCTTCCTTGGCATCAGGAATCCAGACTCTTCCCAGTTTTTCATTCTGTCATCCTGCAATATGTCCTTGTCCTTATGGTATATCTAGCTGCTGAAGCTCCAGTCATCACATCTGTATTCCAGCTAGTAAATGGAGGAAGGGAAAAAGCCCAGGCCCCCTCTCGAGTGTCTTGGAGTCACCACCCTTGCTGGAGGTACCTGCTGCAAGCTCTTAAATATTTATTGAATGTTCATCTTAGTCATCGAATCTTCCTTTTCATAGCTGGTTTTATTTTTAGGCATTTTTGTTTTCCTTGTATGTTTTACACTTTTCTGGATTCCTAGAATCTGATACTAAGATGGAGATTATGATACATTCTTTTCCCCTAAATGACTTTGTCCTGCTTATGTAGATAATTGATCTTTGCTGCAAACAATTTAAACAACAAGGCAAAGTAATTCAAAGTAATTCCCTCCACTGATCCCATTTGAGTGAACATCCTTCTGGATATTTCTCTGTGCACTTCCTGCTCCGTTCCCACCTCCACTTCCACAACCCTGGCCCAAGTCACTGTCCCCTCTCGCCTGGATCCTGGACTATCGCAAGTCCCTCCTGACATCTCCCTGCCACCCTCACCCTTCCCTCCCTTTCAGGCTTTTCACAATCAACAGCCAGAGTTCTAGAATGAGCCTTTTTTAATCTAAGTCACAGCATGTTGTGACTCTTCTGCTAGCACCCTCCCATCTCAGAGTAAAAGCTAAAGTCCTCCCAGTGCCTTCCAGGACCCTATGTGATCATCCCCCAGCAATCCCTCTGACCCCATCACCTACTAGTTCCTCCTTCCCTAACTCCACCATAACCACACCCTCCTCCTTGCTGTTCTTGGAAACTGACCTCAGGGCCTTTGCTTTTCCCGGGATAACCACATAGGCTCTTGTTACTTTTGTCAGGTACCAGCTCATAGGCCATCATTTCAGTGCAGTGTTCCCTGTCACCTCCCCAAAATAGCAGTGCCCACCTCACCCACACCCCAACCTGGTGCTAAAACCATCTGATATCTTTACATGTTTGTTTCTTATCTGTCTCTTTCCACTAAATTGTAAAGCTCCATGAGGATCTTACTGCTGTGTCCCCAGCCCCTAGAAAGGTGCCTGGTACATAGGAAGCACTTAGTAAATACTCATTGCATGAATAAGTATATGTATACTTTTTCATAAATGTAATTAAAATGTTCATCCTGTTTGTAAGTTGCTTTTTCATACATTTTGTCTTGTGTATCTTCCCCCTTAGTAAGTAGAGATCTCTTTCTTCATAATAACTGTTGGAATTCCATTGTATGGGGGCACTGTGATTTCTTCAACAATCCCACCTAGTGAATACTGCAGTGACCATCTTTGTACCTGCATCTTTGCTAAAGCAAGGATAGATTTTTGCTCCCTATTCTTCTTTTAATAATCTAAGTGTACTTTATTTTATTTAGAAATGTTTCAGAAGTTTTCTTTAATATCAAAACCCTTGATTAAGGTATCTCAGATCCTGGCATTCTATTATATTTTTCTTTTTGAATTTTTTTCCTACTTACAGGTTGTTTAAAATCATAACTGATGCTTTCAGTGGCCAGTGATCTCCTTTTTACCAAAGTATGAAATTATTCTTTTTAAATGTGAAGGGTGCTTTTGTTGGAGATCTCTGGTTCCCAGTCTTTGGGGAAGTTCGACATTCACCTTAAGGGTGCTGTGATGGTCCATCCAGGGCCATCCAAAGGCTGCCCATCACAGCTGCGCCCTGTAATGTGCACCCTGTGTGTTTGCAGGAAAGGTCTGGGTCCCCAAGCAGAAGCCAATGGATCCCGTGCTGGAGAGTGTGACGCTGGAGCCGGAGTTGGAGGAGGCCTTGGCAAACGCCTCTGATGCAGAACTCTGCGACATCGCAGGTAAGAGGCATTCAAGAAACTTCCCCACATCCTCCAGAAGGGTTTTACCAGCATGTGCAGGGAGCCTTTTATGGTTTATTTCAACATGAACACCCTCTATATTTTCTAACAAAGATTAAAGGAGATCAAGAATGTTAAAACAGAAATCCATTTTAACCAAAATGAGGTAAGCAGAGATAAAACCACCCAAATGCTCTAATCCACACTAACTATTGTTGCTGAGACCCCAACCCAGAGGGATGTGGAAGTATCCCAGAAAGGCAATGTTCCAGCATAGGATACCCTCACTAGTCGTTTGCTTCAAATCCTGCCCATGCCACATAGGAAGAGAGAATAGACTGGAACAGTCAAAGGACTTCTGGCATCTCCAGTTTGGGAGGCTCACAAGGAGCTGGGGCAAAATCATCTGATTTTACAACCTTGCATTTTGCCTGTGGCCAGCTCAGAAACCAGGCATTGAGGGGATCACCCAGTAAGTATCTCATATGACTGCAACACCTTCCATTTCCATGTGTGTTCCCATATGATCTTCACAAACTGTTGCCTTCGAGCCGATTCCAACTCATAGCGACCCTACAGGACAGAGTAGAATTGCCCCACAGGATTTCCAAGGAGCAGCTGGTGGATTTGAACTGCCAACCTTTTGGTTAGCAGCCGAGCTCTTACCCACTGTGCCACCAGGGCTCCAAAGCCCCAGAAGGTGGCCTGATATTCAGAACTCTTCCCACTGCCTTTCTCTCCTGACCACTGTCTCCTCCCTTCCCCACTGTGTGTTCCAGCCCCATTGTGCTGTGTTCTCCTATCTTTGAGGGTGGGTGGTCTTTTTATCCTGCAGACTTGGGAGCTGCTGATGGTCCCCCAAGTGATAGCAGGAGGGCGGAAGGGGTGGGAGAGAGGGTCAATATATATATGGGTATAAGGTAGGGTCTAATATGACCTAATGTGTGTGGCTTCTGAAAAAAACAAATCCTTAACTGCAAAGCAAACTGGATTCCCTGAGCTAAATGTTCTGAGGGCCCAGGCGGAGTGGCTGAGACATGGTCCACCAGAGACCAGCTGCTCCTGGTGCTGGACCGAACCAGAAGGCCAAGATGACGCCAGGCTTTTTGACCCACCTGCTACAGAAAACAGAAACAGACCTGGGTGGCTGAGAGAGCTGCTCTGTGGAGTAGAGGTGTAGCAACGGCAACAGTGCTCAGGGGCAATCTGTAAACTTGCGCCCCACACCTCATAGACTGGGGGTGGGCGTGATTCTGATTCACCAGCCAGCCTTGTCGTGGGGTGTGGGGAGGGGGTGATTCGCTGGCCACATGAGCTGGAAGCAGGCATCAGGTTGGCGTGCTGGGTGTGGCAAGCCCACCAGAGAGCAACTGGTGTGGATTCGGAGCCGCCCACAGGAGCCGTGAGTGTAGGTGACTCCTTAGAGAAAGAGAAGTAGAGACAGGAGGACGCGGGGCCTGCCAGGTCGTCTCTGGTCTACCCAGCGCCTAGGTAGAGCATTTTCATTAACATTGCCTTGGCTTGTTCACTCCTTCCCACGTTCAACAGCAATATATCCAGTGCCTTCTTCCTGTGTGCCAGCCTCTGGACTAGGCTCTGAGAAGGAATGGTCAGAAAACAGTCCTCGTGGCGCCAAACGTTAAACAAATAATCGGGCAACTATTATATGACAAATGAAAGTGAGTGCCATACAGGAAAAAGGACAGGTGTAGTAATTTGGAGGTTTGGTTTAGGTGCTGGGGCTGGGGGAGATGAGGGAAGGATATGGAAGCTGAATCTAGAGCAGGAAGAGTAGAGGTAAGTGAGAGGAAGTATGGGGGAGAAACATCCCAGGTAAGGAAACCGCAGGCGCCCAGGCTTGTAGCTGGGGAGGAGGCCGGCCCCTTTGAGCAGATTGGCCATGGTAGGAACATGGAGGTAGACACCTAGTGGCAGGTGTGAACACAGGCAAGGTAAGGCCTGTGAACTCTTATTTGTTCATTTAGTTTCTTGTCTGTGTGTCATTCATACATTCAGCATACATAATGGAACTCCTACTATGTACAGGGATGAGTCAGACCCAGCCCTGTCCTGGGGTCCCAGGATTCGATGGGGAGGACAGACAAGAAATGTAAATTCCAACATAAAGAGTGTCCCCACAGGGTGATGGCAGAATGCACAGGACTCTGACAGCACTAAGTTCTTGGCCTGTGGCCTTGGGTAGTAGCCTGGGAGGCCCCCAGGCGTCAGCTGCAAGCACTCGGAATTATCTGTGCCTCGCCTTCCCACTCAGAGATGTGATCCTGACTTATCTTTAGGGATCCTTCAGGTGGGGCAGGAGCCCAGAAAGGGAATAGGAGAAGGGGGGGTTTGCCCTTCAGAAGAGGCAACCCCAGGCCATCCCCAAGGGCAGTTGACACCACCCCCTCCACCTCCCCGCCCCCCCTCAGCTTGCGGCTACCTCAGGGGGCACCTTTGGAGTCTTAGCCAGGCTGCCCTCCGGCTTCTGGTTTCTTCTCAAGTTCTTAGGCATCTGTCCAGGGATTCTGAGAAGGTCAGGGCGTGGCTTATCCAGGAGCGTTCAGCTGCACTCAAGTCCTGGGCTGGAGCCAGCTCCTCCCACCTTTCCTAGGAGGCAGAAAAACACCTTCCTGCCTGCCATCTGTGTCTGCCCCGAACCAGCCCAGGCCATTGGCAGCTGGAGAAGCTGGAGATGAGTGCCGTTATCTCTGCTTCCTAAATGGAATTACAAACTACATGAACCCTGCCAAGGCAGAGACTGGAAAGAGAACGCGATGTTCTTTTTCAGAGCTCAAAAATAGCCCTTTTTGAGTTTTGGGGAAGATCTAGACTTTTTTTTCATCAGGTTCACTGGCGCTAAGTTCAGCCTTGCTAGTGTCTGCAAGGAATGAAGCAGCAGGCTATGCTGGTGTGCTGTGTTCCCCCATCAGCCACTCCTGGTGACGTGGATGTGTAAAGCCAAACAAGGGGAAAGTAGTGATTTGGGGCCTAGGCCTGGCCAAGGTAATAGTGGCTTCAGACTGCCAGGCATTTGCTCACCAATGGAAATTTAGCTTGGCCCCTTCTTTCCTTCCTTGCTTTCTTGTTTCCTTCTTTCTTTCTTTTCTTCCTTCCTTTTTGCAACCCTAATTTCCTCTAAGCTGCAAAATGGTTTCATTTCTTCTTAGGCCTGCTATTGACATACATTCCCTCCTAGAATATATGTTATCTACCTTTAGAATTCCAAAGTCTAGGGGGAGTTCTAGAACTTTAGAACTGCTAGTGACCTATTGTGTGGACTAGTGGGTGAGATTCTCCAGTAAGGGGTGGACTAATCAGTAAGCATGGTACGCATGGGCTTATAGTAGGCAAGGTAGGCACAGGCTTAATTGTGCTTACTTACTTATCTATTGTGCACTACAGATTAGTAAGTAAGCACAATTACTAACTTAGAAGACAGGAGAGTCCTCACTCAATGGTCTTTGGCAAACCATTTCTCTCTTGAGTGTGCTGAACAAGCCAGGGTCATCAACGCCTGCCCTGGATGCTTATTGTAAAAATCAAAGGGGATAAAAACATGAGAAATTGTTGTGCAGCTAAGTTCTATGCGAATGTAAGAGATCTGCATTCAAACACACTCCATTTTCCAGGTGAGAAAACTGAGGCCCCAAAGGGGAAAGTGACTTGTACAGGGTTACCCAAAAAATTAATACCAAGGCTCAGATGGGAGCTCAGGTCTCCTTCCTCTTTGCCCCCTAGCAGTTCCTTGTGGCCTCCTGGCTTCTGCCCTCCTTTCTGGAGCATTCCAGGAAACTGGCAGCCAAGCACCACCTGCATCTTCCATCTCCCATCTCTTTATACAGATGGCAAGACCAGCCAGTCATATGATGTTGATCTTCACATGATTCCCAGCAACCTTTCCAAAGCTTGTTTTCCCTGAAAACCAAGCTGCAGCCCTGAATCACCACAAGCTGCCCCCTCTGTGGGAGCTGGAAGAGCTGGCTCCAGGAGGTGACTCACAGTGACCCGATTCACCTGCTGCTGACTCAGGCCCCAGCTCCTATTGCCCAAGTAGACACAGCCTAAATTAAAACCCAGAGGGCTCAGAGTAATAAGGATGTGTCTCTCCCAACCAGTTCTACTTAGTGATGAACAAGTAAGTATAATTTTAGCAGAGAAGACTCTTAGAATGTGAGAAACAGAAGGGATTTTAAGATCATCTTGTCTTGTGGTTCTCAGCTGCCACTGAGCAGCAGAATCATCCAAGGAGATTAAAAATAGTATCTCCAGAGATTCTGATTGGTTGGTCCTGGATGGAGCCTGGGCATTGATGTCTAAATCTCCTCAAGTGACTCGTATGTGCATTCATGATTGAGAACCACAGATCTGGTCTAACTCCCTTGTCTCAGTCATCTATTGCTGCTGTAACAGAAGTACCACAAGTGGATGGCTTTACAAAGAGAAATTTATTCTCTCACAGTCCAGTAGGCTACAAGTCCAAATTCAGGGCATCAGCTCCAGGGGAACGCTTTCTCCTTCGGCTCTGGAGGAAAGTCCATGTCATCAGTCTTCCTTTGGTCTGGGAGCTTCTCTGTGCAGGAACGTCAGGTCCATAGGATACACTCTGCTCCCAGCACTTTCTTGGTGGTATGAGGTTCCCCTGTGTTTCTGCTTGCTTCTCTCTTTTATATCTCAAAAGAGATTGCATTAAGACACTAATCTTGTCAACCTCATCAGTATAAACTCATCACAGTGATAGAATTTACGACACATGAGGAGATCACATATAATCTCATCATAGTGGTCGAGTTTACAACACATAAGGAAATCACATCAGATAACACAATCATACAATACTGGGAATCATGACCTAGCCAAGTTGCTACACACATTTTTTGGGGGACACAATTCCATCCATGACATCCCTCATTGTACCAAAGACGCACATTATACGGAAGAAGTACCCGGAGAGGGGCGGGGCTGTGCCCAAGGTCACATTGGTGTCAGGGGCATAGTCAGGA